TGCAGTTCTTCACCTCGATTCCCCGATAGTTTCGTCTGTAATGGCTTTTCTGTCAGCGGAGTTTGCTCCGCTGGGTCCGGTGGTACGGATCGCCGAATCCGCAGTATCGCGGACTGAAATGTCATCTGTAGAAAATACACTTTTTGGTGACAAACTTTCATGGACAAAGCCTAAGTTATGGGAGCTTTCTAAAAGCCTGAAAATAGCTGAGGAACTTTTCACATTTGTTTTTAATCTCTTGTCACTCAGAGATCTTCTATATTAGCCGTATTAATTTTCTATTACATTTCCAAAGCAGATTGAGATAAGGACTTTAAAGTAAACAGGAAGACTTTCAATTAGTTGTGGCTAATTCTGTTCAATTGCCTCGTCTGGAGGTCATGCTGCTTTACTCATGAAATGTGGATGGCTGTATTGACACCAGATGGAACTGAACAGAGGAATAGCTCTGGGAGTTGAACATTTCCAGGAGTGGTATAGGAAAGTGTGAGGGGAAAGAAACTTTTTTTTTCCGGGTTTTTTTTTTTTTTTTTTTTTTTTGTTTTGCTTACGTGATTGAAGCATGCGAATCAAGTACTGGATCTGCTCTGCGTTCAACAGCTGGTTTTGCTTCCTATTAAATTCATCACTTCTGCTCTTTTGAACTATTTTAGTATGCTAGCATAAGTTTTCTGACAAACTTGAGGCTTTTTTGATACTAAAGTTAAGCTTTATAGCTTAGTTTTTTGCTTAGCTTACTTTAGGGCTGTTCAGTTAAAATTCAGGTGTGACAGCATGCTAAACAAAAAAAAAAGGAGGGGAGAATCTCAGGACTTTAATTTTAAGAGTTGCTTTAAAAAGCATTTTGTGTTAGCAGTCATCAAAATTTGTCTTTTCCACTTACGTTACTGAGAGACAATAAAACATACTGCAGGGCTTTTTTGTTAGCACAAGGAAGGCTTTTCTAATTAGAATTCCCTTGGTAGTGTAAATTGTCCTTATGTAAGTTCACATTCCTTAAAAGTGTGAGAAAATAAGTTCCACTTGTATAAATAAGCTTTGGTCTGTTGTAAGAAACCCTGCTGTGATTACTCATTGGACAGCTGTGTCACTAGCTCTTAAACTCACAGGAGTACATCTTTGTAGGTGTCACCAAACCATGTGGTCTGGCCGCTTTTGTGTAAATATTTCTTTTGTTTGTGTCAAATGCCTTAGAAGTACCCTCCTCTTTCTTCCTTCCCCTCTTCTTAGTAAGAGAACAAGGAAGGTTGTCTTGTTACCTCCAGCTACCCCAGAAGTTGGAGCTGGGATTGCGCAATCTTTAAGATTATAATGCATTTCAGTTTTACATACGCAAAAAAAAAAAAAAAAAAGGGGGTTTGACTAGCCTGGATTATTGTTGCAACAAACTGTGCACTTATGAATTATAAAAGACTGTTTATGAATTTTATTGGTATATGTTTACTGTGTTTTCCATGGAAGGCTGTAGAGGGTATAGCCAAAGGCTAGTAGTTTAATTGCAGGCTTTCCAGTCCTCTTTGGAAAACAACTATTACCCCATGTTCTCAACATATGCAAGTGAGATCTCCCAAACAGGAGAGTGAAAGCTCTTGTGCCTGCGAGGGTCTAGGCCTGCATTAGGCTTTACACCTTCCTCTGCCCATCTGTCTACTTGCCCAGATGTAGACCAGGTCAGATGAAGTTGGATTTTTGAAGTTCCGTTTCACTCTTTCATGCCTTTCGTGTTCAGATTCCCCTGGTGAAATAAAATGAGAGTGTCTGATATGGAAAGGCTGCATGACCTTAAGGAGAGACATAAAAAACCGAAACAGCCAGAGGGCTGAGTTATGTCCCCTTCCTTTTCGTGGCAGGTGTGGCGCTACTGCTTTGTACAGAAGTGACTTCACTGAATGGGTGTAAACAGGCTAAAATTGCCAGCTTCACTGTGATTTTGGCCAAAGAGACCATAATCTGTAACCCTGCCTTCATGGAAGATAACAGTCTGCTGAAGACTGATAAACATTTGTAATGGCTTTGTGTACAAATAGTTTTGGAGTTAGATTTCCATTTACTTCCAGGATGTGTGTGTGTCCTGGGTTTGCAAGAACATGGCTTTGTTAGAGCTGGTGTAGCAGAGCCAGAGGTGGAGGGATGAAGGGAGGAAGAGTGTGGAGCATTGGCTGGTGCTTCCCGTGTGTGCTAACTTCTGGTGGAAGTGCGGTACCCCTCTCCAGGTTCACCGAAGAATGCTGAAGTTGTCGGTGGGGCAGGAGGGAAAGTCTGAAAGATGGGTTTCACTTGTGTTTGTATTACATCCTTAGTATTTACATTTTATAAATCTTCTAGTTCTCTACCAGGATTGCCAGAAAAAAGAGCTGTATGGTTTTCACAGCTGTTTTTCAATATTTTCCAGACGAAAACTTGAACATAGCAAGCTGATTTATGAGTCACTTTGGATCAGTGTCTTAAAATGGCTACAGCCTGGCTTTTTGTTTTTCAGCTCTCCTGATTTCTGCTGAATTAGCAGCTCTATAGGCCCCAGTGGGACTGATTAAGAAGCTGTTGCTGGATTTGCATTTTAAAATTTGACTTGGGGCTCAGGTTTCTGAGTTCTCTAAGGAAGAAGATGATAATTGTGACTAAGTGTTGTAAATTAAGTTACAGTCTAAAAGTTGTATTTATAAAATGCGTGAAGAAACACTCTCCCTTTACACACTAGGCCTTCCTTCAAATTTTTTATCATACAGACATTGATGTTCAGTGATACTTTTCAGCTTTCTGATGCAGAGTTAAAAAAGATGGCCATACAAATGTAATGGAATATAGAAAATAGTTTCTTTCATAAAACAGGCTCTTAAAGGGCCTCAGAAACTATGGTATGCTTTTTCAAGTGGAGGCAATTCTACTTAAATGTTCAATCACTTTTATTAGAAGTCTGGGGTGAAGAACAGGTATATATACTTTTTATTGTTATAAAGAATTTCTTAATATAAATCTGGTTTCTGAAGTTTGAGTACATTCACTATTACGTTTTCATGGCTTTTGAAATTCTAGTAACAAAAGTAATCACAGAGGAGATTTTCTCCCCACTTGTAATATGGTTTTTAAGACAAGGAAAATTCAGAAATGGAAAACGCATAGTAATAATCTTAGTGCTTTAATGTTGTCAGTTCCATTTTTTTAAAGAAAAAATACTGATTCGTTTTCAAACCTTTTCTTTACACTTGTTTTAGGATCTGCTGAGAAATGCATTGGACTGAAATGTACTTGCAGCTTTGCAACAGAGATGATAGATTTTTATTTAAAAAATGCCTCAGATCCAGTGCTTGTAAGTTTCAGAAAATTTTATAGGTGTAAGCTTCACTTAGAGTATTAGTAGAAGACATATTTTAACCCTTGGTTCATTTCTAACTACTCTAATTAAAAAACTTAAAAATGTAACTGGTAAGGCTTTTTTTTTTTTTTTTTAACCCTCGAAGTTTCTCATGCTAGTAGTACTGAAATAATGTTTAATAAAATATTTATAATTTATATGTTATCCAACAACTGGTAGACAAGTATGTATACAGCTATGTGAAACAGGCAATTCAGTATTGCATGGAGGGTTTTTTTGTTGTTTTGCTTTGGGGTTTTTTGCAACTTGTGTTTGACAGCCTGCTGTAAGTAAATCAGGAATGAGTAGTTTGTATGTATTTTTTTAAAGTAGGTGCTATGTGGAAAATCTGAGGGTATCTTTAGTGTTAAAAAACAAATGCAAAAAAAAATAAATAGTTTGAAACCTAGTGTAAGTTGTTACACTCACGGTTGCCTTGATAGACTCCAGATGGATGTGAGCTTGAGCTATGAGTGAAAGTGTCTGGCTCCAGTGTGGTGATCATGCACGGCAGTGGTTATAATTGCAGGATTTTTATAGTTTAAGGACTCTGCCAGATTTTTTTTTTTTTTTTTTTTAACATGTTATAACTCCAGCAGAACAAATCTACTCACGTCTGTTACTGTCTGGTAGGTCCTTTAGGCAAGCATGTTTTAAATAAACCTTTTGCAGCGTTTTTGGATGAAATGAAGAAATGCAGGGTTTTAGCACTAATGTTGAAAGCTCTTCGTTGAAATAATTACTGATTCCTAAGTCTTGTCTGAAGCATGAGGAACAGTAACATATTAGGCAGTAATAGGCATAACTTCACTGAATTTTGGCTGTTGATTTACATACTTCTTATAATCCCTACAGACTAAAGCCAAATACAGATTTAAGGGTAAAAATTGTCTCTACTCTTTCTGCTTTAAAGGACCAAATTAGAGTCCCATCTAGATCTTTGTAACAGCATATTTTTTCAGGGTTTACATTTAAGATTTCAGAATTCAAATCTATGCAGCTAATATCTTCAGCAAAGGGATTTTTCACTAGTCTGTGGCCAGACAAATGTTTGCACTAGATTTTTAAGCAGTGAACGATGCAGTCCTCTAACTCAAGTGTGGTTAACCTCGTTTACAGGAAACCTCAAAATCATAATGATGAAACTAACGTTTGTGGGTTTTTGAAAACTTTAACACTGTATTGGTTTTCCATCTTGAAGAGGAAGATGTGTAGGGGTTTAGACACCTGGAAGAAGGCACAGATATATATTAGGTGCTTGACTCCAGATGGAGTCTTAGAAAACATCCCCTCTGTAGCCACCTGAAGGTGATGGAGGGTGTTCCCCTCTCTAGGTGGCTTTCCCCCAGCCCTCACACCTACTTTTTGTGCTGGAAGATGCCTTTCACACCTGCAGGTCTGCCTTATGCTTGCTCCTGTGCAGCCCTGGCTTGGAAGACGTAACGTATATCTCCTTCCTGCTTGTGGCTGTGTGCCAGGCACCAGTGCCACAGCTCTGCAGCCAGCTGGGCCTGATCCAGTTGGCTGGCTCAGAGCACACCTCATAACTGAGTACTGGTGGTACTCCATATGTGCCTGGGATTATTTTTAATGTTTGAATTTTATTATTATTTTTAACCACTGACTCCAGGGGAGGACGAAAGTGACAATGCCAGGAATTGTCCTGGCAATATTGAACAAGTACTGCATAAAGCACCAGACAGTTGGGGGAGTGTAAAACAAGTTTTTATTGTTCCCATGTGCTGTTGAAGAAACATAGATGCCTGGCTGGGTTGCATCATTACACCTGTGTTCAGGGTTATGCAGTGGTGGGTGTAGAGAAACTGGGAGTTCTCTGGATCTGAAGTTCAGGACTTAGTCACAGAACACACCACCTAGCACAGACCCTAAATCTGGCTTGATTTAGATCAGTTCTGGGCTGTGTGCAGCAAGGATATGCTGATCATCAGGTTTCTTCACAGCCAGAGCCTTGTAATCAAGAGGTTGTTTTAGTCAGATGTTCTATTGTGAAGGGATGGGGCAGAGGGGTTGTTGTTGGTATATATGAGTCAAAATCTTAAGGTGTTTTTCATGGGTCTTACACACATACCAGTGAATAGTTCTAAATTGTTCAGAGATGTAGGAAATTCTTTGATAGTGCTGGCAATGACTGATCAAGGTATTTACACTTATTTACACCTTGTGTGCTCAAATGAGTTTCTATTCTAATTTACTAATATAAAAAAAACCCTTTTTATATACTTGGAAAAAAATGATAACATAATTTGCATTGAAATTGTATTGCTTTACATGATATTTTACGGCAAAACTGACAGGCTGTTTGTTTTTGTAACCTCCTAGGGACTTAAGTCACAACAAATTATCTTCAATCAAGACCGGTCTCTTGGATCACCTTCATAGTCTTCAGGAAGTGTAAGTTAATTTGTCTTAATTAAAAACAAACAAGCAAACAAAACCAATCAACCCCCTGGAAAAAAAACAAACCAGCAGCAGCAGCAACAACAAAAAAAAGAAAAAAAACAACTAAAAAACCCAACCAATGTTTGTGTATGCTAATTGTATCCCTATTTCTAATAATAATTGGTTAAACAACAAAGGTGTTTGCTTTTCTGACACTTTGCATTAACTGGACCTGAAATTATTTTTTAATTTTGGGGTGACACTGTTCAGCCATTTATCAAGTCCAATGTACATACTTCTGGTTAACATGAAAGCTGACTCCATTTTCTAACATTAATAGGAAGTTGAACAACAATGAACTGGAGATCATTCCAGACCTGGGACCAGTCTCTGCAAATATAACTGTTTTGTCTCTGTAAGTAGATCTTACTATTGTCCCTAGTTAGTGGAACTGACTCTACAGGGTTTGTGGAAATATGTGCATTACAAAGATTAAAGTGAAATAATTGGAAATAGAGTAGGTTGTGGTTAGAAGTTGATTATGTCATATTATTTAGCAGGTTGTTTAAAATGTCTATAATTGAGCTTAATCCTCGTAGTTTTTGTGCTTCCCTCAGATATAAAGACTGCATTAGAATTAATTTATGTTGTGGTAGTGCCCAGAAGCCTCAGCCCTTGTGTGCTAGGCACTGTACAAACATAAGTAAACGTTATACAAACTTGTACAATGCAGACTTTAAAACAAGAGTTATACCCTGTCATTATGCATCTTGGCTGAAATCTCACTCGCGTTAAAAAATGGCAGAGTTCCATTAATTTCAGTGGGCAATATGGGGAAATCCCCTCGAGGTGCACCTTCAGGACAAGTATCTAGGTTGGAAGATGTTTTGCCAATATCTTTAAAATGTCTTTTTGAGCCCATTTTAATGTGTGGCATATTTTTTTTTACATCTGCAGTTAATAGATATAATCATGTGTCACAATTATATGTACGTTCATTGTTTTGTTTGAAAGAAATTAGTAGGTTACTTGATGTGGCATCTGTAATATGAGTATAAAGTTGTAAAAGGGCATATAGGACCAGTAACCAAACCAGTTGATTTTAAAGGAAATGTTATTCCTGAGGTTTCCACTTGAAATCAGTTTGATATTTTTTCTTTTTTTTTTTTCACTGTGATGTAGTTTCTCTAAATTGTTGAAGGAACTGTTATAAAAATAGTTACTTTAATACTATGAATTGAAAAAGGGGAAAAGACACCTTTTTCATGTGTGGGATTTGTAATTTATCAATGGGAATCTAAAGTGTCTAAAGCCAGTAATATGTAGCCCTCTGGCCAAACCCTGCTGTTGAATACAAATTGCAAGTTACCTTTCTTGAACAAGCCCGAAGGGTTAAAACAATACAGTAAACTTTGGAAAGCTCTTCAGTTAATTAAATTGATCACTATTCAATTGCTTACATGTGGTGATTTATAGGGGTTTGTTTTTACTTTGAGCCCAGGTCAGCTAAGTCAGCTGGTGCAGCCACTGTGTCTGGACTGCTCTGTTTGAGTAAGAACTAAGTGATATTTGATACTGATGTGGTTTCTTACAGATCGGAGTCAGAAAAGAATGAAAGAAAAGCAGATGGTGTCTGACAAATAACTGTTGAATTTAAGCATATCTTCTATTTTGCATTAGTGTTGACACTATTTTTACATTGGCATAGTATTCTGTAGTGTAAGCATTTAATTGATCTAAAGAATATATTTTTTTACCTCTTTGCTAAGGTTCGTTTTACCACAAGGTTGGAAATAATATCATAATAAAGTGTTTTATATCCTCCTGCCTTCTGAGGAATGCAAAGTTGAGAATTCATCTTAGCATCTCCTCTAGTCCTTCTCATGGAAACTGAACTAGTTTAGATGGACTCAAAATCATCCTTCTGCAGCTGTGCAAAAATTTTTGTATTTCTTTGAGAGTGTAAGTGGAAATCAGTCACTGCTGGACTGGTTGTTCCATATCCTTGGGTCATTAGCTTGGTTCATTTACGCAGGTGGTCAGACATGGAAAAACCTTTGTTAGATCTGTGCTGTCAGTGAGTATGTAATAGTTGACAATGGTTATTGTCAAAATGGATGTACATAGAACATAAAATTTGAGTGGTATTGCATTGTTAAAAAAAATAAAACATCTTGTTTCTTTTGCAGAGGTTTCTATTTAAAACATGAAATAGACTTGTAGAATTGTTTAGGTTGGAAAAGACCTTTAAGATCATCTAGTCCAACTGTTAACCTAGTGCTGCCAAGTTCACCACTAAATCATATCCCTCAGTGCCACGTCCACACTCTTAAATACCTCCAGGGATGGTACCTCAATGACTTCCCTGGGCAGGCTGTTCCAATTCTTGAAAACCTTTTCAGTGGAGAAATTTTTCCTAATATCCAGTCTAAGCTTCACCAGCACAACTCAAGGCTATTTCGTGGACTCGTCCTTTCACTTGTTACTTGAGAGAAGAGACTGACACCCAGCTCCCTACAACATCCTTTCAGATAATTGTAGAGAGGATAAGGCCTCCCCTGAGCCTCCTGTTCTTACAGATTGCAAGTTATTTATGTAAAGATGTTAAATCTCATTTTACAGAAAATAATATAAATGAGTAATAGAGCAGCTGTCTGGCATAAAAATATACGTAATATGGTGTTATCATAGATGGAAAAATAATCTAATGATACATTTTATTTTTTTTTTTTAGAAGTGAAAAAATATGTTCACTTATTCTTTCTGTGTTGGATGTTATTTGGAGGGGTTCAATCAAACTGAATTAATACATGTAAGTCATGCGAAGAGAACACATGGAACAATTAGAACGTTAATTTTAGAACCACTCTTCAAAGAACAACTGTACTCAAAGATTCTTCCCCCCTCACTTCTCAGTACTTGTCACTCAGCTGTGGATCCTTAGAATTTTACCTGTTCTGCAAGAATTTTCTTGCCCTGAAGAGGAATTTACGCTGCTGATGTGTCTCAATAAATAGTAGTGCAAGTATCTCCATATAGCACCATATGTCTAAATTCTTTGAGCAGTGTAAACAAGCATGGGTGGATTGTCATGTTAGTGTAGTTTTCATTTCTGGAGCCTACCTCATTGCTAGCTATCTAATTGATATTTATCTAGCTTAGATATTTGCATCCTGTTGAATTATGCAGGGTAAACATACCCAGAGCAGCAGATGTTCCCAGTCTCATGTCTCCCAGTCTCTTTGTAACATGAAAGAACAATGCCAACATTTTGTTTTTATGGATGCCAGTTGAGGGTTGAACACCATGGGAGAGAAAAGTATTGGGCAGGCACACCCCCTACCACCATCCTGGTAAGACCTTGTCTGCGTGAAGGAGTATACAAGCACATGCAGGCATGCTGTCATTACATGGCTGGAGATAACTCATCACATGAATTAAAATATAGATGTATCTCTTCTTGTCACATGGCATAGCAGAGCTTCCGAGCCTCCTGGGAATCTAGAAGCTGCTGTGAAATAAATGGGTTGTACTTCGGGCTAAATCTGGTCAGGAGGCTCCAAACAGCACAGTTGGTAACCAGGAGGCCAGGTCCCCCTAACTGCTGGACAATATATTCTTTTGGGGAGAATACTGGATTTAACAACTGATAACCACAAATATATCACACAGATGCCACACTCAGTAATGTAGGTGTATTTATCTATCCCTAGGACTAAAATATGTTAGGTGTTTCCTAAGTTACATTCCTGAAGTGCTTGTAAATACAGTTATATTAATGTATAATTGCTTTAAATGGTTGTGGTAGAAAATCCTGCAGTTCTGGGAGAATAAACAAGTTTCTTTTCATTCTTCCTAGATAGGTGGGTTGCTTTTGTGTCAGGTAGTGAAAAGGGCACTCATGCCCTCATTCCAGGAGAACGAGCAAAGGTTCTGAATTTAGTTCCCATTCTAACAGGATTTCTCATCCAAGATGGTACCCATCCTGTCCTGCTTATCCTGAAAATCTGCTGGAATCTGTGATGTTGATAGATGAAAAGGAAACTGGTATTGTCTACTGGGTCTGTCATTGCTGTAAAGTTTTGTACGTGGGTTGGATCCAGAAGTAGATTGAAACCAAGTAATATAAGTACAGTAGCCTCGAAGTCCTGCATGGTGTTTAACTACCAACTACTGTTTGCACAGGGGTTTTATTTTAAAACTTTTTGGAAAATTTTAATTACTTTTATTGTGATTAGTGCTTTGTAAGGAAGATAGGCGCTGATTTGCAAATGCTGCGACATTAAAGTTTTATGGTTTTTTTTGTTAATGATACAGGTTTAAATAAGAAACCCATGCTACTTTGCTTGCAGAATTTTTAAAAATACATAATTGTGGGCACCATTCAACATTATCACTGCACTGTGTCTTTGAATGCTGTGGAAAATGGAGGCAGCAGAGACTTTAAATAGACAGTACAGCTTGGAGTTTTAAAGTATCCTGCCTCCCCACCTAAATTTTATTGTTCTTATCAAAATGTATGTGTAAAACATGTTTTATATTACCTGCATCCTGAATATGTTATATAGCCATCATCTTACTATCTGCAGGGACTAAAAAAACTGTACATGCCAAAGTCACTAATGTGTATGGTGAAATTCTAGTGTTAGGCTAGCTTTAAATAATGGTCTGTTTTAAATAAGCTTGTGATTTTACATTTTATTGTATAAATAATATTTTATTTAAAAGCACTAGTACATGTGGTGCAGGTGATTTAAATGAAAATATTGTAGCTTACATTGTAAAGGCTGATCGTATTAGTCTAGAATACAAACAAATATTCGGTCTTAATAGAGCCAGAGTGGAAAATAGAAAGTTCATGGTGCGGAAGTAAAAAGAGCATGGATGATTCACAGTTCAGTAATGTTTTTCAAGTTTTACAGTAATATATGGTTTGTATTAGGTTCCCACTTTTTTCAGAATGTGAGAGCTCGCGTTCATAAGAGATACACAACATGGAACAGGTTTTCCTCTGCTGTGCTGAGGGGACCCTCCCATCTGTACAGGAAGCCTTTAAGGCAGTTAAAACAAGGAATCACATGGCCATTCACTTTAGAGGCCTGATATGAAGAATGTTGCCAGTATTGAGGAGGTTTTTTGAAATGTGCCCAATTGTTTGTTAGGTGCTGGACTGAATCCTCAAGTCACTTTTCTGAAGACTTTCTACAGTTTTCATTTGTAGTGTCTGTTGATATATAGTGAGTTTAAATGCATTGAAGATGTGTCCTGGATGTTTAAAAAGGTAAATAAAAAGTATTAACAAAAAAAGATTAGTCAGGAGATAAAAACAGGACAAAAGGACTGTAGCCTGTCTTAAGTGACTGCAGTTGTCACAGGTTTTCATAGTAAGCAAAATTGTTCGAACTTTAATGTAGC